CTTTGATGGTCTATCCGTCTCGATATTTTCCCCTTCTATGTACACCTTCATCCCAACCTTCAACTCCGGAACTTCTTTTCTTTGTTTATCGTAGTATTTTTTCTTTTTTTCTTTTGCTTTTTCCAATGCTGCTTTTGCTTTGTCTTGTATTTCTTTGATTCTTTTTACAAACTCCTCCGCCGACTCGTTCCTCGATTCCATCCGTTGTTCCACTCCCTTCCATGGGTGATATCCGTGATTGGCGTAGACCAGTGATATTTTGGTAGACGTGTTCATCTTGTCATTGTATGCAAACTCCGCCATTCCCAGCCAGTCCGACCAGTCCGTCTGATGGTAATTGACGTAGATGCGGAGATAGTGCTCAATCTCCTGATTCATGCGTTCTGTCTGCCCATCCGTGATCGGGTGATATGCGGTCCCCGGATTCATTTCCACGCCCAACATCCGATTCGTCTCCCTCATGAAGCCCTTGATGTAACGCGAATCCCTGTCGGTGATGATCTTGCGAGGGATCCCGTGGTAGCGGAAGACTCGGTCCCTGGTTAGTTGTGCCACTCCTTCGCTGCTGATGTCAGTACTAATTGGTTCGACATGGATCATTTTGGTGAAGGTGTCACACCACACATGAATTGCGTCATACCCGTTACTGACCGGCAAGGGTCCGATTTGATCCATGGAGATGATTTCCCACGGCGCGTTTGGAACTGCATGCGGGTGCAAACTCCCTGTCCTTGCTCTCCTGGTCTTGGTCCGTTGGCACGCCTCGCACGTCTGGATGTATTTCCGAATTTGGTTTCCCATCCTGGGCCACCAGTAGTTTCTTTCCACCATCTCCTGTGTTCGGTTGATCCCGGTGAAATGCTGAGGGCGTGCTCACAAGTGAATCTACTATGAAAGTAAACCCAAATATAAACACGTTCACACTCCTCGTAATCAGCTTCTCAGTGTGTGAAAGATGCGAGGGCTTCGGGGTGGACAGAACACCAGTATCACAGCTCTCAATAGACGCAGATCCAATAGTCGCGGAAGACGAAGTCGACGACAAGGATATATATATATAGCAAACAGTGGTGTCTCAACCAATATCTTCTATACAAACACAACCAACACTAATACAATCCACAACCAACAATATAACAAGTCAGAACTTAATACGAAGTATTAAGATCCCTTGTAGCGACAGCGTCCAGATGGTGACGCAAAGCCCAAATATCAAGTCGACGCACTGCCAACTGATACAACCAATATACTGAGTCGATGCACTGCCAACTAGTAAACCAAAATGCCGCGTCGACGCACTGCCAACTAACAGCCAATATCCAATGTCCAAAACCCGAGCACAACTTGTCGACGCACTGCCAAGCAAGAAGTGTGGAACCAAAGTTCTCAAGTCGACGCACTGCCAACTGACCAAAACAACCCGAGCACAACTAGTCGACGCACTGCCAAGCTAGAGGTGTGGAACGATCTCAACAAAGCCCTAAGGCGACGACACTAAATGCCGCGACAATACCAGATGCGGCGAATCCGACTTTCTGATATCTCAACTCAAACTCAAATCACAGTAGCTACAAGTGCTCAGGGAGCAACTCGTCGCGACCGGGCAGGGATGGCAGAACTTCTTAGGGTGGAATCACGCGGCACGCAAATTGTACAAAACAATCTGAAATGAGAGTGATTCACAGTCCGGGGGAAAGCTTCCTAATACAAAGAAACGACGTGCTACTTATACTGTCTACGACGACGCTTGTAAAGTCCTGTACAACTGCATAGTAGCTACGCTATCTAAGATCGGTTGCCTTTTAGGGTAATTGAAAAGTTGAACGATCGGACAGGTCCTGAGTGATCAGGACCCCGCCCCATAGTCCATATGATACTTTTGATGTGGGTCAACCCACCGCGTCATACTTTTGGAATACGACGTGCTGGATTGGCCAACGGGTATGTCTTGGCATGTGAGACCAACGTGGGCGCCCCAAGAAGCCGTATGGCCCTAGGCACGCCAGTCGTCCCCCACATGGTTCGGCTCACGGATCTAGCCGTGTCGATTTCTAGTGTGTTTGGGTGTTGACGCGAATCGCCGTGGCACTTGGGAGTGTCACCGCGACGCGTCCTCAATGTCCCATGATCGAATGGATCCTGACATGTGACAAGTCGTCGTCGTGACATGATCTGAGGAAACGTCCAACTCAGAACCAGGAGTTGCCGCGACAAGATGGTTTAAGTCTCGTAACGCCAAGTCCTGTCCAGTAGTAGTTCTATTATTGAGAACGTCGCGCATTGCTCAGCCCTTCAGCCCAAGTTCCCATCTGCAGAGAATGACCCTTTTCGAGAAGTCGACGCAACGACAGATCCCTTTTTGGGGGAATGGTCGCGGTCCAAGCGTTCGTCACTAATGGCCCTGAGCCTGGTGTAGACTCATAAGACCAATTCCACAGTAGTGATCTGACTGCCTTGCTATCGTCGACACTATCCACAGTCGTCGACTGGGCAGTAGACCCTTAAGTCCTACTGAGCGCAACACTGTCAACCGCGACACGATACACCGAGTGGTTCAAGAGTAAACTCTGTAAAAGCGCAAAAATACGCCCTTACAGAGTTGGTGCAGAGCGCGTCTGGTAGCCAGCCTATCACCGGCGTGTCCGACCAAAGGGGTGTCGTGTCATAATTCGACTCTTTTTCATCTTATCATCGACGATCTTATCTTATCTTGGCACGACTTATCTTATCACGGATCACGGCATCAGACGGTCCGGGCTAGGGGCTCCAGGGGTTATCTCTATCGATTCGAGGCTGCGCGACATATGCTCCGGAAGGTTCTACTACAACCCATGACCAGTGCTCCATGCGGTACATAGCCCTATGACTCATTAGTTGTAGATATGACTCAGACTGGATTTGGGTATAAATACTGTAGCTACTTGGTTGTATTCTCCAGTCTTCGAATTCACTTCTCTTTTCAACTTTGTTTTTGGGTTGATTGTCACATAATTCGAAGACTCCCCTCATACCCTCGTACCTCTTACCTCCTACCCTGCTCCGTGCACCGCTATGCCCGCTATATCCTCTTCACCCTTACCACCCCACTCACCCTTTTACCGAATCATCTAGTCGCTCGCTGCGATCGCAGTGAAAGGTTCATATCGAGCAAACAGCACCAGGCCACGGGTAACGTTGAGCCCGACCCAAGCCTTACGGTAGCTACAAGGAGTGCTGCGGAGACCTTCGGGAAAACGCACCTTGGGATCATCGGGCACGTGAAGAGCTAGGCCCGGGATCTTTTTGCTAGCAAAAGAACCTTTCCTCGAGTGCTTGTACAGCACACGAATCCACCATTTCGTACCGATTCCCATCGTCATCTGGGAGTCCATCCCCTCCCCATCCCCTCCCCCCATCATACCATCGTCGCCCGATCTGGCGCATCAAAACGAACCCGGGCCCTCCAACCCCTACCTCGCCCTCCCGCCGCCTGAAGACGAGATCCCCGACCTTGGCGAGTTACCCTCCGAACAACCACCCTCGCCCCCACCTACCGCACCTGCTCCTACCATGTCAGGACATCACCGCATCACTCTCGCTGCCAACCCCCCCTACTTCGATGGCGACAAGTCCAAATACCTGGGCTTTGTGGACGCGTGCACCACTTACATCGGTGCCTATCGGTCAGAGTTCTCGCTGGATGAGACAAAAATCCTTTTTGTTCTGTCCTACCTCCGTAATGAGACCGGCACAAGCTGCGCCGCCTCGAGATGGGCGATGAACTGGAAGCAGCACAATTTCGAGGGTTTCCAAGGAATGAAGGCGGGAGTCACCGCGACAACCTTCTTGGAGGAGCTCCAAAAAGCCTTTGGGGATTCTAACGCAGAACAAGTCGCCGCTGCCCGACTCATGGCCCTTCGCCAGGGCAGACGGTCCTTCGCGGACTACATCTCTGACTTCGAAATGCTGGCTGCGGACGCGGGGTACAACGTGGTCGCCTCAACCGATGACAAGGGCGAGTACAAGAAGGGGGATCAGGACAACATCCTCATCGAGTTCCTGGAGCGCGGACTCAGCAGCGAAATTGCAAGCCGCCTCTACAACACCGGCGTCCCCCTGCCCAAGGCATATGGTGCCTTCAAGAACTGGTGCGTCAACATCGAGGCCAATGCCTTGCGCGATCAGCTGCGTAAGGCATCCTATGCGCACTCAACTCTGCGGCCCCCACCCCAATTCCGCCCTCAGGCTGCACCATCAGCACCTGCACCCGCTCCGGCCCGACCAGCGGCCAATGAGCCGGTTCCGATGGAGATCGATTGCACCCACACCCGTGGCCGCAATATCATCTGCTACAACTGTCAGCAGCCTGGGCACATTGCGCGGAACTGCCCTGAGCCCAAGAAGAAGCGCACGTTCTTCAATCGGGCCACAATGCTAGAAGAGATCGAGAACGGGGACAAGGACAACGAGTTCCTGAAGGAGATCGCCGAGAAGCTGCGCGAGAAGGGTTTTTGAAGCGCTCCACTCCTCTAGCCAAGGAGGTGGAGCGTCCGGACTATGGACAATTTTCTGTACTTGTTTCAATTAAGGACATGAACGATTCTGCACATACATATACAATCTCGGACTCATTACGTACCAATATTCACGATTTTCTCATTGCTGATATGGAAAAAGAACGCCAAAGAAAAATAGTTTTAAATAGAGAGTATTTACAAAGTAAAAAGGATCAGAAAGCTGCGGATAAATTAATTTTGGACTCCTACGTATTTATGGCTCGTGGAGAAGGAACCACGTCAACAAAGACCGAAAAGGGGAGCATCGCTCCGGAGGCTCAATCCTTGAAAAAGGAGGAAGCGCCCAAGGAATCTGCCGAAATCAGGATTCCAGAAGCACCCAAACGCACAAGGGTGCCGGATGCCGTTCAAAGGAAATGGGCAGCCGAGAGACAGAAGGGCCCCCAGCCCAGCAGACTGGCGCAGGAATTGCGCAACTACCAGGCCGAAAGGAAGAGACATTCAATGGACGTATATGTCCAGATCACAGGCCTGGACTCAGGAAAGACGCGCGGAGTCAAGGCGCTACTCGATAGTGGCTGTAGCACCTGCTGCATCAATACCGACTACGCGCGGGCAGAGAAGCTGGATATCCAAGAACTTCCCCAACCCATTGTGGCTCGTAACGCCGACAACACCGAAAACATCAGCGGCCGGATCACGCATTACGTTGACCTAAGGATGAGAATCGGTCCTCACGTGGAGACACGCACGTTCCTTCTGACGTGCTTGGGAAAGGCCCGGATCTTCATTGGTCTTGACTGGCTGACGGAACACAACCCGGAGGTGGATTGGCAGGAGCAAACGATGAGATTCAGCCGATGCCCAGAACGGTGTCACATGAGGGGTCACGAGGAACACCAAGCGATGATTGACATGGATGCAATCGACCTGAACACGAGCGCACCAGATCTGGAAGAGGGAGAGTCTCGTCCCTTGGTACGTAGAGCTTCCCATGGTACGTGATAAGCCCCTCTTCCTTCTTCCATCCGACGAGTGACTTCTCTACGGCCGCCTTGACGCTTCCATCAATTGATCAAATGGCCTTGATTTCATCGATTAGCTGCTGATCCTGTCCCTCGAATGTGACTTCTTGTGATCGGAAGAACTTGGGCTTCAGTAGCGTGACGTCCTTGTTGTCGTTCTTGCCCTGATCGTGATCTGCTCGTCGGGACTGGAGGTCCGCCTTGCGGTTGAGTGCGCCGGGTCGGTGTCGTAAGGTGAAATCGAACTCCGCCAACTCCGTGATCCATCGTGCTTGCTGTCGATTGAGCTTCTGCGGCTTCCGAAATGACTCGAGATTCTGATGATCGGTGAAGATCTCGAACGTTTCCGTGGCTCCCAGGAGTAACTGCCTCCATTCGTCAAGTGATAACATGATTGCGAGCATTTCCTTGTCGTAGATCTCGTAATTTCGCTCGGTTTCGGTCAATGCGTGCGAAATAGATGCGATTGGGCGCCAAATGCCGTCTTGGTTTTGGCTCAAAACTGATCCTGTTGCCCCTTCCGAAGCATCGGCTTCCAGACGATATTGGCCAGTGTCATTTGGCAGTGCTAGGACCGCATCCTCCGCGATTCTCTTCTTCAATCCATTGAATGCCGCATGCTCATCTGCACCCCATGACCATCCTGCCTTCCCTGTCAGCCGTGTCAATGGCTTGGCAACCTCCGCGTATCCCCGGACAAAGCGCCGATAGAAGTTTGTGAATCCGAGGAAAGCTTGGACCTGTTTGACACTCTTTGGTTCTGGCCATTCCATCAGAGGGGCTTATCACGTACCATGGGAAGCTCTACGTACCAAGGGACGAGACTCTCCCTCTTCCAGATCTGGTGCGCTCGTGTTCAGGTCGATTGCATCCATGTCAATCATCGCTTGGTGTTCCTCGTGACCCCTCATGTGACACCGTTCTGGGCATCGGCTGAATCTCATCGTTTGCTCCTGCCAATCCACCTCCGGGTTGTGTTCCGTCAGCCAGTCAAGACCAATGAAGATCCGGGCCTTTCCCAAGCACGTCAGAAGGAACGTGCGTGTCTCCACGTGAGGACCGATTCTCATCCTTAGGTCAACGTAATGCGTGATCCGGCCGCTGATGTTTTCGGTGTTGTCGGCGTTACGAGCCACAATGGGTTGGGGAAGTTCTTGGATATCCAGCTTCTCTGCCCGCGCGTAGTCGGTATTGATGCAGCAGGTGCTACAGCCACTATCGAGTAGCGCCTTGACTCCGCGCGTCTTTCCTGAGTCCAGGCCTGTGATCTGGACATATACGTCCATTGAATGTCTCTTCCTTTCGGCCTGGTAGTTGCGCAATTCCTGCGCCAGTCTGCTGGGCTGGGGGCCCTTCTGTCTCTCGGCTGCCCATTTCCTTTGAACGGCATCCGGCACCCTTGTGCGTTTGGGTGCTTCTGGAATCCTGATTTCGGCAGATTCCTTGGGCGCTTCCTCCTTTTTCAAGGATTGAGCCTCCGGAGCGATGCTCCCCTTTTCGGTCTTTGTTGACGTGGTTCCTTCTCCACGAGCCATAAATACGTAGGAGTCCAAAATTAATTTATCCGCAGCTTTCTGATCCTTTTTACTTTGTAAATACTCTCTATTTAAAACTATTTTTCTTTGGCGTTCTTTTTCCATATCAGCAATGAGAAAATCGTGAATATTGGTACGTAATGAGTCCGAGATTGTATATGTATGTGCAGAATCGTTCATGTCCTTAATTGAAACAAGTACAGAAAATTGTCCATAGTCCGGACGCTCCACCTCCTTGGCTAGAGGAGTGGAGCGCTTCAAAAACCCTTCTCGCGCAGCTTCTCGGCGATCTCCTTCAGGAACTCGTTGTCCTTGTCCCCGTTCTCGATCTCTTCTAGCATTGTGGCCCAATTGAAGAACGTGCGCTTCTTTTTGGGCTCAGGGCAGTTCCGCGCAATGTGCCCAGGCTGCTGACAGTTGTAGCAGATGATATTGCGGCCGCAGGCATGGGTGCAATCGATCTCCATCGGAACCGGCTCATTGGCCGCTGGTCGGGCCGGAGCGGGTGCAGGTGCTGATGGTGCAGCCTGAGGGCGGAATTGGGGTGGGGGCCGCAGAGTTGAGTGCGCATAGGATGCCTTACGCAGCTGATCGCGCAAGGCATTGGCCTCGATGTTGACGCACCAGTTCTTGAAGGCACCATATGCCTTGGGCAGGGGGACGCCGGTGTTGTAGAGGCGGCTTGCAATTTCGCTGCTGAGTCCGCGCTCCAGGAACTCGATGAGGATGTTGTCCTGATCCCCCTTCTTGTACTCGCCCTTGTCATCGGTTGAGGCGACCACGTTGTACCCCGCGTCCGCAGCCAGCATTTCGAAGTCAGAGATGTAGTCCGCGAAGGACCGTCTGCCCTGGCGAAGGGCCATGAGTCGGGCAGCGGCGACTTGTTCTGCGTTAGAATCCCCAAAGGCTTTTTGGAGCTCCTCCAAGAAGGTTGTCGCGGTGACTCCCGCCTTCATTCCTTGGAAACCCTCGAAATTGTGCTGCTTCCAGTTCATCGCCCATCTCGAGGCGGCGCAGCTTGTGCCGGTCTCATTACGGAGGTAGGACAGAACAAAAAGGATTTTTGTCTCATCCAGCGAGAACTCTGACCGATAGGCACCGATGTAAGTGGTGCACGCGTCCACAAAGCCCAGGTATTTGGACTTGTCGCCATCGAAGTAGGGGGGGTTGGCAGCGAGAGTGATGCGGTGATGTCCTGACATGGTAGGAGCAGGTGCGGTAGGTGGGGGCGAGGGTGGTTGTTCGGAGGGTAACTCGCCAAGGTCGGGGATCTCGTCTTCAGGCGGCGGGAGGGCGAGGTAGGGGTTGGAGGGCCCGGGTTCGTTTTGATGCGCCAGATCGGGCGACGATGGTATGATGGGGGGAGGGGATGGGGAGGGGATGGACTCCCAGATGACGATGGGAATCGGTACGAAATGGTGGATTCGTGTGCTGTACAAGCACTCGAGGAAAGGTTCTTTTGCTAGCAAAAAGATCCCGGGCCTAGCTCTTCACGTGCCCGATGATCCCAAGGTGCGTTTTCCCGAAGGTCTCCGCAGCACTCCTTGTAGCTACCGTAAGGCTTGGGTCGGGCTCAACGTTACCCGTGGCCTGGTGCTGTTTGCTCGATATGAACCTTTCACTGCGATCGCAGCGAGCGACTAGATGATTCGGTAAAAGGGTGAGTGGGGTGGTAAGGGTGAAGAGGATATAGCGGGCATAGCGGTGCACGGAGCAGGGTAGGAGGTAAGAGGTACGAGGGTATGAGGGGAGTCTTCGAATTATGTGACAATCAACCCAAAAACAAAGTTGAAAAGAGAAGTGAATTCGAAGACTGGAGAATACAACCAAGTAGCTACAGTATTTATACCCAAATCCAGTCTGAGTCATATCTACAACTAATGAGTCATAGGGCTATGTACCGCATAGAGCACTGGTCATGGGTTGTAGTAGAACCTTCCGGAGCATATGTCGCGCAGCCTCGAATCGATAGAGATAACCCCTGGAGCCCCTAGCCCGGACCGTCTGATGCCGTGATCCGTGATAAGATAAGTCGTGCCAAGATAAGATAAGATCATCGATGATAAGATGAAAAAGAGTCGAATTATGACAATGCCGGCCGCTTCAACACGTTGGAGCTGATCTCCCGGAACTACTGGTGGCCCCAGTTGTCTCAACACGTTGGCCTGTATGTGGCCACCTGCGACCTGTGCTGCCGAACCAAGGCGCTCCGCCAACTCCCAATCGGGGAACTCCATCCCACGGAGGTCCCTTCGGAGCGCTGGGAAGCGGTGTCGGTTGACTTCATTGTGCATCTGCCAGACGCTCACGGGTATGATGCTATCATGGTCGTTGTTGACATGCTTGGGAAGCGCAGCCACTTTATAGAGTGCCACACCTGGCTCTCCGGTGAAGGTGCCGCCAGGCTTTTCTACAAGAACGTCTAGTGCCACCATGGGCTGCCGTCTAAGTATGTCTCTGACCGTGGCTCCCAGTTCATAGCAGAGTTCACGCAGGAGCTGTGGAAACTGGTCGGGGTCTCATCGGCAATGTCTACGGCTTGGCATCCACAGACGGACGGCCAGACCGAGCGTGTGAACCAGGAGCTCGAGCAGTTCCTCCGGATCTTCACCAGCTACAACCAGGACGACTGGGACGAGCTGCTTCCCGCTGCAGAGTTTGCCTACAACAACCATATTCACTCATCCACGCAGCAGGTCCTGTTCATGACAGATACCGGTCGACTCCCTCGTATGGGCTTCGAACCGAATGGAATACGCTCAGCTGTGAACGAGTCAGCAAACGACTTCCGCGACCGCATCGCGTCTGGAGTGGCAGAAGCCAAGTCGGCACTGGTGAAGGCAAAGGATGAGTACAAGCAGTACTACGACCGCCGGAGGGTCTCGGCTCCAGACATCAAGGTCGGAGATCGAGTGGGCTTGACGCTTCTGACATAGCAACAACGCGCCCGTCCCTCAAACTCTCTCACCGACGGCTGGGTCCCTTCAAAGTCACCCAGGTGGTTGGGCGCGGCGCTTACAAGCTTGACCTCCCTCGCCGCCTCTCTGGTCTTCACCTGGTCTTCCGCGTCGTCAAGCTGCAGCTCGTTGAGGACGACCCGTTCCCAACACGCCCGGCTCGCGAGGAGCCGCCACCTGTCATGGGCAAAGGAGCTGGCGAGGAGTGGGAAGTCGAAGAGGTTCTGGATGCCAAGATGCGCTATCGGAGCATTTTGTCACAATTCGACTCTTTTTCATCTTATCATCGACGATCTTATCTTATCTTGACACGGATTATCTTATCATGGATCACGGCATCAGACGGTCCGGGCTAGGGGTTCCAGGGGTTATCTCTATCAATTCGAGGCTGCGCGACATATGCTCCGGAAGGTTCTACTACAACCCATGACCAGTGCTCCATGCGGTACATAGCCCTATGACTCATTAGTTGTAGATATGACTCAGAC